CTTTTTTTTTATTTTTTAAATTCATTTGGTGTCTTGGTTCTTGAACTTGTGATATTTGAAGATGTCCTCTAATAATCTGGATTTTAGCTTCATCCCTTAGCTTCATTGTGTTCTTCAGTGTTGAGTCAGTCCTGCTTGTTCTGTTTTTCACTGGTGCAGATTTGTCCACAAAGCCCAAAAGTGAGCTCATGAAAGCGTCTAAAGAAACCTTCCTCACTTCTCTCACAATGTCATCAAGAGCATGTGCTTTATAAAGCCTTTATGTTTCAAATGTGCCTTTACTATAGGGCAGGGGTGTTCAATACGTCGATCCCAATCTACCAGTCGATCGCCAAGGTCGTGTGGGTAGATCGCCGTGTCTCGTCTCGGACTCGATTGCGTTTGGACTCGGTCTTGTCTCTCACTCAAGGTCTGACACTCAACAAGTGTGATCATATTTCACTACAGCCGCTGCTGTTGGTAATAAACTTGTAGCGGGTGCAGGAGCGTGTGGGGCGTCTCAGTGCAGCCTGTGCGCTCATTTGAAACCCGCGGAGACTCTACGGCACATCACAAACACACACGCTCCCTATGCACGGCTCGTCTGCAACAGCGTGTGCCCTCGTGTACCAGCGTGCATCACAGGGCAGGTTCAACTTCCTAAACATCCTACCTGTCCATCTGCCTCACGTCAGCACGCCGCCCCTCGCCTTTTCACGCTCTCGCTCCTTCCTGCGTACAGCGAACACAAGCCCCTCCCACAGTGCGCTGATTAGAAGAGCAAGACTGTGGGAATTAATTTCTGTATTTTTAGTGTTTCATTCATGTTAATTCACCATGTAATGTGGAAGGGGTTTAATGTTCTTGTACATGTGTCATAAAGAGAAGTCAGTGTCTGAACTTTAAAATGTCAATGAGTTTGGGACATGTTATGATGGACTTTGTGATGTATATGAGACATAAAGGGGGAGTGTCTGAACTCTTTAACATATGATTATCTGTGTTTACACTGTCTAGGTCAACATTTCTGTGAATTTCCTGTAAATACCAGTTACAGTTTGTCAATATTCTGACGAGATGGTCAGTATAAAGCTGTCAGCTCTTCTTGTACTAGGAGAGGTGACGTGGAGAGATGCTGTGTGAATCAACTTGAATCAAGAGATCTGTACCTGTGTGAGCCGAATAAAGAGACATGTTTGTGAACACCTTTAATCCTTCTGGACTCTCTTTTAAGGCTCTTTCCAGGCCCCTCCAGAAGAAGCTGACAAGACCAAACGTGAAGCAAAAACGAGTCTAAATTTGTTCCAGTGTTGGCACAAAGCAGGTCTACAGCATAGAGCGGATCTACAGAACAGACCTACTGCCACATGTGGCTGAAGTTTGTCTAACAAAAGTGCACAAATGCATCTGTGTTTGTCACGATGTGCGTTTGGTTTGGTGAACGTGCAGAGGCTGGTAAATATCACTGCAAAACCAGAAAAGAATGTAACTCCAGTTTGGAACTTTAAAAAACAGATTTAAAAATCTTCCTTCACTTTTTTCACAGTTTTGTGTAAAGTGCCAGAGGAAGTTGTCTTAAAGAAGAGGTTCTCAAACTGTGGGTGAGGGTCCAAAAAAGGGGCACAGAGTGTTTCAGTGCAGTTTGTTTGGCTTTGTATTAGGTTGATCATTTTGACTTGGTCATTTTGTAAGCAGCTCGCATGCTGAAAAAGTGTGAGCACCCCTGCTCTATAGGGACTTGAACTCTCTTTCGCTGAATCCAACTGGTAATGATCCGCCAATGATGTTCATTTTGTCTTCTTATATGCTTTAACTTCTTAGGTTCTTTTTAAAGACAATGCAGTAAAGTGTATTTACCTTGTTGACATGTTTCGGCTGCTAGCTGCGAGCCATCTTCAGAACTGTCACCGGTGTTGGTGGTGACGTGTCGTATATCAGCTGTTACTTCCTGTAGGCGTGGTCAGACCTGATGGACCTGCAGGACCTGCGCCTCCCGTCGCCCGGTGTCTCTGGAGGAGGGTGTCCCAGGTGTGTGAAAGGAGGAACGCGCCGTCGTCCCGGTTAATGCTGTCCGTGCCTCGTTTCCTGATTTCAATGTTCTCCTTGAGCCAGCGTTTGAACTTGTTGTTTTCTGATCCAATGACCCGAGCCCCGTCCCAGTCCATAATGTGGTTGTTCCTTTTACAGTGTCTGATATGGCGGATTTTAGGTTTTCCTGTTCTGCTTTGTCTTTTTGTGTTCTGGTGAGTCTCCCTGACGTTTCCTTCTCGCATCCCTTTTGGTGTTCCTTTTTTTGGATGTGAAATGCCCGGCCTGTTTCCCCTATGTATGATTAATTGCATGATTTGCATTGGATTTCGTAGATGGCATTGCATTTTTGTTCTTGTGGGATTTTGTCCTTGGGGTGTACGGGTTTTTGGTGGAGTTTTGTGTCTGGTTTTACTACAGTGCTAATGTTGTGTTTTTTCATGGCTCTGGATGGTTCGGTTATTCCTCTGATGTTCGGTAGTGTGACTATGTTTTTGTCCTGCTGCCCTGTGTTGGATTGTTGTGTTTTTTTCCGGGGTTTGTTGGTTTTATTGATAACTTGTTGTCTGCCTTTGTTTATGGCCCAGCTGGGATACTGACATTGTTTGAGTGCTTGTATGATGTGTCTCTCCTCTTCCTCCCTGTCGGTGTGGTCTGTGATGAGTGTGGCCCGTTCCAATAGTGTTCTTACTACTGAAAGTTTGTGTGCAGTGGGATGTTCGGATGTCCAGAGCAGATATTGGTCAGTGTGTGTGGGTTTCCGGTATACAGTAATTTTGATGCTGCCGTCTGCGATGTGGTGGATTTTAATGTCCAGAAAAGATATGGCTCCGTCTTTTTCCTCCTCGTGTGTGAATTGAATGTTTCCTGTGTCGTCTTGTGTGTTGAGATGGTCCGTGAGTTCTTGTGTGTGTCCTTGCTGTATTTTTTCCAGGACGTCATCTACGTAGCGTTTCCAAAAAGTTAAACGGCATTGTGGTGGTGCGGTGTTGAAAGCTTTTTGTTCCAGGTCCTCCATGAAAAAACTGCTCATTCTTGCAGACAGTGGATCTCCCATTGCAAACCCCTCTTTCTGTCTGTAAATTATGCTATTGTACTGAAAATATGTAGATTTGGCCACGAAACGTAATAATTGTGTAATGTCATCAACTGTTAGATTTGTGCGTTTTTTGAGTGTTTTGTCCTTTTTAAGTTTTTCCTGTACTATGCGTAGTGTGACATCCACGGGTGTTTTAGTGAACAGTGATATGACGTCGTGTGATATGAGTATTTCATCCGGTGCTACTGTAATGTTTTTTAGATCCTGTGCCAGTTGTTTCGCATTCTTGCAGTGGAATTTAGTTTGACCGATGAGTGGTTTTATTATTTCGACCAGGGCTTTGGATAAATTATATGTTACCGAACCTATGCTATCGACTATCGGGCGGAGCGGCGTGTCTGTTTTGTGGATTTTCGGGGTTCCGTAAATGCGCGGGGTGATGCTGGCTGTAGGGATTAAATCGTTGTATGCTTCTCGGGTGATTTTTTTTCTGTTCTAATAGGGGTTTGAGTAATGTTTTCAGGGCTCGTTTCTTTTCTTCTGTCGGATTCTTTTTGATGATTTCGTAGGTGTCGGTGTCTGTGAGTAGTGCTTCCATTTTATGTTCGTATGTTTTCGTGTCCAATGTGACTGTTGTCCTGCCTTTATCTGCGGGTAAAATAATGATTGTGTTGTCTTTTTTCATGTGATTAATGGCTTTCCTTTCCTTCTTGGTTATATTGCTTTTCGGTAATTTGGCTGTTTTTAGAATCCCTGTCACTGTGTTGCGTAAATCTGCTTTTTGTCCCTGATTTGGTATTTTTTGGCATGCTAGTTCCGTGGCTAATATGTATTCTTTTATGGGTATTTTGTTAGGGGTGGTGGCAAAATTAAGTCCTCGTGCAAGTACGTTTGTTTCTGTTTCTGTGATTTTTCACTGACTTAAATTGCATACCCATTTATCTTTATTTTTTGTTAGTGAGGTTTCGATTTTACGGTGTTTTTTCTCTATTAGTAATTTTAACTTCCTAACGTGGCGGTCCTTAGTTGTTTTAAATTCTAATTCGTATGTTTTTTCTAAATGTTTGCTAACCTGTCGCTGTGCCTCTTCTTCCATGGGGAAAAGCCGTCCGTATTTCTCGCTTTCGTCCATTAGTTCTCGTTCAATGTTTTTCTGCTTATTGATAGTGATGCGAATCCTTTCATTTAACAGTGCTTTTTTGGCCTTATTAACTATTTGTTTTGCATTATGGGTTGGGATCGGGGTCTTGATGTTAATACTAGCTGGCGTGATGTTCTCATCTCTGCATCGGAGGTTGAAGCGTAGGTGGTTGTTATAGCGTGCGCGCGCTTTTTCCAGCCTCTCCAAATGGCGAAGTGCTTTGACACCTCTTTGTCCAAATCTTCTTCTTATTAAGCCAGTGATGTTCATTTTGTCTTCTTATATACTTTAACTTCTTGGGTTCTTTTTAAAGACAATGCAGTAAAGTGTATTTACCTTGTTGACATGTTTCGGCTGCTAGCTGCGAGCCATCTTCAGAACTGTCACCGGTGTTGGTGGTGACGTGTCGTATCTCAGCTGTTGTTACTTCCTGTAGGCGTGGTCAGTCTGATGGACCTGGCAGGTCGCTCAGACTGACCACGCCTCCCGTGAACAACAAGTTCAAACACTGGATCTAGGAGGCCATTGAAATCAGGAAACGAGGCACGGATAGCATGAACCGTGATGACGGCGCGTTCCTCCTTTCACACACCTGGGACACCCTCCTCCAAAGAACACCGGGCTATCTGTCTCTCTATAGTCTGGTGCAGTGGGTGAGCAGGAGTGGGTTCTCTCCTTCATATTTCTGTCCTATTGGCAAATTTTTTCAGTTGTGTCACACTAAATGAGGCCCTCACAGACACAGAGCTCAGCAGCAGCTTCCTGTCACTCACCAGTGTGAAGCCCCGCCCACCTGGACCACAGCCAATAGAAGAGGAAGAACACAAGCAACACAACACAACAAGCCTCTTCCTCCAGATGCACACTTTTCTCTGAGACGCTTTGGACTCTTTGGATCCACTCAGGTATCACTAGTTTGATTCTGTTCAACACTGGGTTTAGTCCTGGTTTAGTCCTGGTTTAGACTTGGTTTAGTCCTGGGTTGGTACAGATTTAGTTTAGACCTGTGCTCGTCCTGGTTCAGTTCCTGTTTTATTTCCTGTTGTCATTTATGTAGTTGTACTTTTGGTGGTCGTCATAGGCGTCAGTTTATGTTTTTCTAAGTGGGTTCTCAGTGCAAACACATGTACAGGCACTTTTGGGTGCACGTGCATGTGCCCACACACACATTTCACCTTTTTTAGGTGTGCTTCTTGAGACAGAGACAGAGAGTGAGACACTAAAGACTCGTTGTAAATGTGCACTCGTAAAAATGTAGTCTATTTAGGATTGGGAAAAATTCCGGTGGGTGCTTGGAGATTTGCGTGGGGGCTCACAGGATGGGTGTCTGTGGTGTTCATATCATTGGGACATTTGTTGTCAGTTGACAGAGTTTTCAGACTCTTTCTCAGAACACTTGACACAGCTCTCACACAAACACACACACTCACTGAATTCACCTTGTTTTTTCACACTGTAGACTTGTTCAGACATGATGAAGAGAGAAGAGCTGGAGCCGTGAGCACAGACTCTACTGAATATAGAGACATGAGTGTGATACAGCACGTGTCCAGTGGGACGGAACATTCTGGGTCTTTGTTTCTTATCTTTGAGTTTGGGAAATGATTCATGAGTTCTTTTAAATGGTATTTTCCTGACTTTATTTTTAAAGAAGTGAAACCCTGGTCAGGATTCTGTGGGAGCTGTTTTGCTGATGTCAGTTTCAAAAGGAGAAGTGAGTGTAAGTTTGTGTTTGGCCTGACTCTGGTTTATTTCCTGGTTATTTGTCTTTATTAGATGTATGGATTTGTTTCTATGTTCCTCAGAGACTAAGTGCTCAGAGTCATGGGATGTGTCTCTTCTCTCTTTTTCTTTTTCATGTGTTGTTTCTGTGGAATTGACTTGTGGTTGTAAATGACAGTTGTTGTTTTTTTTTCTGCTCTAAACTCCCACTGTTCCATATATTTTTCTTTAGACGGGGCTTTTAATTGTACTAATAAGTTCTGGTCTCATACGTGGAATGTGCTCTTTGTGCCTGACCCGAGTCTTTATACAGACATGGACAAAATTATTGGTACCCCTCTGGTAATGAAAGAAAAATCAATTAAATCAATTAAAATACATTTTTACTGAAATAACTTGAAACTAAGAAAAGCAATAATAATTTTTTTAAAATCTGTAAAATAACCAATGAAAATCAGACATTGCTTTTTAATTGTTTTTCAAAAGAATTATTTAAAAAAACAAACTAATGAAACTGCCCTGGACAAAAATAATGGTGTGACACATTGTGTCACTGTGCTGTTTGGAGACATGATGGAGACAACACTGAACATGAACCAGAGAAAGAGAAGAAGAGAACTGTGTCAGGAGACTAGAAAGAAAATGACAGACAAGCAGGTTAAAGATAAAGACAATAAGACCATCTCCAACCAGAGTAACGTTCCTGTGATTACAGTTACACATGTTCTTCAGAAGTTTAAGGTCCACAGGACTGAAGCCAACCCCCCTGGACGCAGCTGCAAGAGGAAAATTTATAACAAATTGAAGAGATGGATCATACGAATGGAACCAAAGAGCCCAGAACAACCTCCAAACAAATTAAATGTGAAGCTGAAGGTCAAAGTACATCAGTGTCAGATCACACCATCCATCGCTGTTTGAGCCAAAGTGGACTTCATGTGAAGACACCACTGCTGAAAGCAAATCATTAAAAAAAATTAACTGGATTTTGTCACAATGCATATTGACAAACCATAAAGCTTCTGGGAGAATGTTCTTTGGACAAATGAGACAAAACTGGAAATCTCTGGCAAGACACATCAGCTCTATGTTCACAGACGCAAAAATGAAGCAGACCAAGAAAAGAACACTGTCCTACTGTGAAACATGGAGGAGGCTTGGTTTTGTTCTGGGACTGTTTTGCTGCATCTGGCACAGGGTGTCTTATATCTGTGCAAAATACTACAGAATCTCAAAACTATCAAGGTATTTTGGAAGGAAATGTGTTGTCTAGTGTCAGAAAGCTTGGTCTCGGTTGTAGGTCATGGGTCTTCAAACAGGATAATGACCCAAACCACAAAGCTAAAAACACCCAAGAATGGCTAAGAACAAAACATCAGACTGTTCTGGAGTGTTCTTCTGTGAGCCCAGATCTCAGTTCTACTGAACATTTGTGAAAGGAGCTGAAACACCCTTAAAACCTGAGACAACAGAACAGTTTGCTCACCAGAAATGGGTCAAAATACTAGTTTACCAGATGTAAAATCCTGCACCTTCTACTTGTTTGCACAATTTTCCCTCCGTTACTTTTCCCTCCGTTACCATGACCTTTCTTAATAAAAAATCTCATGACTTAAAATGTAAGAGGTTTTTGAACCTAATCTTGTACCATATGGTAGAAAACTATATGAAGCAAATATTCAAACCAGTTTGTTAAGGATATGGAAGTGAGAACCAAGAGTTATCACTGTTTGGATTTATTGGCCAAAAAGTGCTGCATATTTCATTCCCTCCGTTACCGACATGAGTTTTTAAATTTTTTGTCAACAACTTGAAAGAATATCACAGGTTTAACTTGACCCTGTTGGAGTGTAACTCTTTCCTACATTCTGATACTTTACTTATTTCAATAGTCCCTCTTGTGTCTGAATAAGAGACATTTGAATATCAAAAATCTGCCCCTGTTTCCCTCCGTTACCACTTGACCAGACCCCATAATTGAACAGTATTATAATCATGTTGAACTGAGGATTGAATATCAGTAATATTAGATTTGGATGAATAAATAAAGTTGAATGAGGAGTTCACTGAAAAAGCCGATGTTAGAGGCCCTACTTCAGTTTTCAGCATCCTCAACTTTCTCCGCCAGGTAGGAGTTCTGTTTTTCGAAGGTTTTCACCCGCGATTCAGGTTATAGTGATTAGATTTAACCCTGTCCTCAAGATGATCAGGTCTGGCTCCCACTGACTTGAGCGATTCTTGCATTGTGTTCATGCAGTTTTGAATTATGTCAAGTTTGGAGTCAAAGTGGGACAATCAGGGTTTTGTTGGTTACAGGTTGGTCCAACTCCGAATCCATGTTGTTAGTTGAGTAACAAAGGAGGTATGGAAAACTTGATGAGTTCAGATGCCAAACAGATCCACAGAGGAAAGAGAAAAATGCAAAAAGTTGAGCAGATTTAGTGCATTATAATATGGCAGATGCTATTTGCACCCTGGGTGTAAATATCTAACATTGTTATTCACACATAGGGCAAATAGACATTGTTGCTATTTACACCCGGGTGTATTTAGCATGGCACATAGAAGGGCACCCGGGTGTTCCTAGACAAAAATGCTATTTACACCCAAAAACAACAACAACTCACTTACTGAGAGTAATATTTGATGTTTTTTTTACTCAAAATGATGCGGAATCATCGATCAATCATTCGCAGTCTGCGCCTAATGGTTTAGTCCCGGTTAAATCTTGTTTTAGTCCTGTTTTAATCCTGGTTTAGACTTGGTTTTAGTCCTGATTTTAGTCCTGGTTTAGTCCTGGTCTTAGTTCTTTTTTTTAGTTCTGGTCGATGCGCTGTACGGGAGAACACGCGGTGTACGGGAGGAAATGTGACGCACGGGAGCGGGAAGAGATGCATACGTCTATGGATCCACGTATCGTATACGAGAAGGGGTAATGCCAAGGTAAGGGGCCTCTATTGGTTCACGGGGCCCTAATCAGTGTGCGTACTGTGTGTATTGGGTGAACCGGTACTGACACTGTATCATGCATTGTGACAGCTTGGGGCCATGTGGAAAAAATCCACGATAACCAACGGGTTTGGAAAGGCTGGACTGCTGCGTGATGAAGAGGACAGCACATGAGCAAGGGACAATTTGCCTGGAGACGAAAGTGACACGGGAGCCGACGTAAATAAAGTGACTGTACAGGAGTGAAATGACTGTTGAATAAAGAGACGCACTGAACCTGCACATGTACGATCTGCACATGATCTCTGTAAAGTTTAACATGAACCATCTCCAGAACAGACTCACCATTCGTCTGACAGAAGCTCCGCATCATGCACAGAGCGAACAGTTTTTTTGGCGGGTATTTTATACAGATTAGCCTTGTGGCGTTAGGTTTCCTTTTTGTGTGCAAAGCTGCATTAACCCATTGATGCCTGATGCTGCACAGCGCAGCGCTGAGTCCCCTGTCCGGATTGTCTGGCGATCAGCATAACTGGTAAAGGCGGGGCCACATCTGGAAGCATGGGGGGGCGTGTCCTCCTCTCGCTTCCATTCACTCCCATAGAGAGACGCAAAACTGCGGGAGCTGTATTGTCACGTTAAACCTTCTTTATCGTGGCGTATTATTTCTCCATTGAAAAATAATCTAAATGTATCCCGCACATGTTTCCATCAAGACCTGGTTTGAAGTAACAACGTTGCTCTTTACTGCCAGCGCATGAACGCGCTCAAACACTTGATCTGGTCGCTGTTTCAGACGCTCCTATAACGCTCGTGTAACAAATAAACATGGTCAAGCACAAAAATGGACAACAAAATGACAACATTTTTGTGTTTGATCATGTTTATTTGTTACACGACATAGCGATATGGCACCTGTTATAGGAGCGTCTGGAACAGCGACCAGATCAAGTGTTTGAGCGCGTTCATGCACTGGCAGGAAAGAGCAACGTTTGTTACTTCAAACACCAGGTCTTGATTGGAACATGTGCGGTATACATTTGGATTATTTTGTGAGCAGTGGGCGGGGCTAAACACTGTGATGTCATTCTGTAGGACTCTGGACTGAGCATGGATCAGAGAGATCACAGAGAGGACGCAGACCCTCCCACCACCAGCAGGGCGGCGCTGGGAAGTGAACACTCTATTGACCGATACATTGATTTTAAAAAGGAGCCTGGTCCACAGTAAGTCTGAGCCAATGATCAGATGTGACTGTTGTGTGTGTTTACGTGAACTAAAGAAATGTGATGACCAAAAACACCAGGTGTACATGTGTCGCTTCAGTGTAGGACATCTTGTCTTTCTGAGAGAAATCATCTCACAACAGATTTTGTTGTTTTAAGTTACATTTCAATGATCTGATAATTCCAAAAATCAAATATATCTATAATTAGATTTAAGTGTGAATTTAAACATGGACACTGAAAGATTTTAAGAATGGATTAGTTTAACAAATATGTATTATATTCAGTGTCACTGTCAGGCCTATACCTGGAACATGACAAACTGAGGTTGAAAATAAAAAGGTGTAAGTTTTTTTTTTTTCTTTTTTGTAATAATGAGAATACTATTGCAAACCCGAAATGTAGTGTTTCTTTGTTCAAACTTTTGTACTGAAGTGTCTGTGGTGAAGGCCTCATGAACACTTTGTAGAACCTCCTGAAGTATCTGACCTGAGTCAGAACAGTCCCATGTGTTTTACTGTGACTGAAGTGTTTTTTCTTCTGTGTTTCAGGATCCACCAGAAACATTCTCCATCTGAACCTGGTCCCAGCTGTGAGTCCCTCAGGAGTGACTGGTCTATGTCACATCCCATTGCTTTTGCCACAGAGCAGTGAGTTTCCACAAGTGTTGAATAAAACAATAGAACTGAAATGAGAGTTTAATGTGTCTCTTTCACAGAGTGGAACAGACGGATCCAGAGGTCTCCAGTGGTCAGCACCATCACACACAGCTGGACTCCATATTTAAGGTCTGTCATTCACTAAAGTTTGGAAATGTTCAGATGAATGAGAACTTGTTTGACACAGATCTGACACTAACTGCATTTGTGTTGTTTATAATGTGTCTGTTCAGCTTCTGGAGGAGGACATCTTCACTTTTGTCCAGAAGAAGCTGAAGACGCTCCACAAGGTTCTGAGTACAGATTACCCAGAATGTTTAGAGCCTGTGGAGGATGAGGATGAAGAGCAGAGGAGCAGCAGTGAGGCTGTTCTGAAGATCACACTGAACTTCCTGAGGAGGATGAAGCAGAAGGAGCTGGCTGAGCGTCTGTGGAGCAGTAGGACCATTTAACACATTTAACAAGGTGCTCACAGTCATTTTATCTTCTCTGAGACTCAGGCCTGTATCTGTTGTCTTCATTCAGGGAGTTATTCTGGAGTTTATCGGCGTAAACTGAAGTCTGACCTGCAGCAGAAGTTTGAGCGTGTGTTTGAGGGCATCGCTAAAGCAGGAAACCCCACCCTTCTGAATGAGATCTACACAGAGCTCTACATCACAGAGGGAGGGTCTTCAGAGGTCAACCAGGAACATGAGGTCAGACACATGGAAACAGCCTCCAGGAAACCAGACCCAGCAGAGACAACCATCACATGTGAAGACATGTTTAAAGGCCCAGCTCACACACATGGACCAATCAGAACAGTGCTGACAAAGGGAGTGGCTGGCATCGGGAAAAACAGTGCTCACTCAGAAGTTCACTCTGGACTGGGCTGAAGGCAAAGCCAACCAGGACATACAGCTGCTGTTCCCGTTCACTTTCAGAGCACTCAATGTGCTGAAGGAGAGAAGCTTCAGCTTGGTGACACTTGTTCATCACTTCTTTAGTCAAACACAAGCAGAACTCTGCAGCTTTGAAGACCTCCAGGTGCTCTTCATCTTTGACGGTTTGGACGAGTGCAGACTTCCTCTGGACTTCACCAAAACCAAGGCCCTGACCGACCCCACAGAGTCGGCCTCAGTGCACGTGCTGCTGGTAAACCTCATCAGGGGGAGCCTGCTTCCCTCCGCTCGCCTCTGGATAACCACACGACCCGCGGCAGCCAATCAGATCCCTGCTGAGTGCATCTCCATGGTGACAGAGGTCAGAGGGTTCACCGACCCACAGAAGGAGCAGTACTTCAAGAAGAGGTTCAGAGACGAGGCCGACACAATCATCTCCCACATCAAGACGTCCAGAAGCCTCCACATCATGTGCTACATGCCGATCTTCTGCTGGATCACTGCCACAGTCCTGGAACATGTGTTGAAAAGCAGAGAGAGAGGAGAGCTGCCCAAGACCCTGACTCAGATGTACATCCACTTCCTGGTGGTTCAGGCCAAAGTCAAGAACATCAAGTATGAAGAAAGATCTGAGACAGACCCACACTGGAGTCCAGAGAACAGAAAGATGGTGGAGTTTCTGGGAAAACTGGCCTTTGAGCAGCTGCAGAAAGGAAACCTGATCTTCTACGAGAGTGACCTGAGCGAGTGTGGGCTGGACGCTGCAGCAGCCTCAGTGTACTCCGGAGTGTTCACACAGGTCTTTAGAGAGGAACCAGGCCTGTACCAGGACAAGGTCTACTGCTTCATCCATCTGAGTGTGCAGGAGTTCCTGGCTGCTCTTCACGTCCATCAAACCTTCATCAACACTGGGATCGACCGTCTCTTAGATAAACTAACATCATCATGGACAAAATTTTTCAGCAATAAATCAGTGCAGTTTTACCAGACAGCTGTGGACCAGGCCTTACAGAGTCCAAATGGACACCTGGACCTGCTCCTCCGCTTCCTCCTGGGACTTTCACTTTCGACCAATCAGAGCTTTCTGCAAGGTCTGCTGACACAGAGAGGAAATAGCTCCCAGACCAATCAGAAAACAGCTGAGTACATCAAGAAGAAGCTGAGTGAGGATGTGTCTGCAGAGAGGAGCATCAACCTGCTCCACTGTCTGAATGAACTGAATGATCGTTCTCTGGTGGAGCAGATCCAACAGTACCTGAGTTCAGGACGTCTGTCTGAAGGTGGACTGTCTCCTGATCAGTGGTCAGCTCTGGCCTTCATCTTACTGTCATCAGAAGAAGATCTGGAGCAGTTTGATCTGAAGAAATACTCTGCTTCAGAGGAGGCTCTCCTGAGGCTGCTGCCAGTGGTCAAGGCCTCCAACAAAGCTCTGTGAGTAACATTTGTTTAACAGAGGATGGTTTGATTCAACTTCTACATAAACAATGTTTCCTCCTCCAGACTGAGCAGCTGTAACCTGTCAGAGAGAAGTTGTGAAGCTCTGTCCTCAGTCCTCAGCTCCCAGTCCTCTAGTCTGACAGTCCTGGACCTCAGTCATAATGACCTGAAAGACTCAGGGCTGAAGATGTTGTCTGTTGGACTGAAGAGTCCTCACTGTAAACTGGAACAGCTCAGGTCAGAGGAGTTCACAGTATTTACTTTATTATTTATTTATATTTTTACATTATTATTATATTTACATTGAAAAATAATCTTTGATAAAAGTAATATAAAGATAGGGGATTTGTTATTTGCCTCATTTGAACTGAATGTTACCAATGAATTGACTGATTACAATAATCTGTGTCCTCAGACTGTCAGGTTGTCTGGTCTCAGAGGAAGGCTGTGTTTCTCTGGCCTCAGCTCTGAGGTCCAATCCCTCCCATCTGACAGAACTAGACTTGAGCTTCAACCATCCAGGAGACACAGGAGTAAAGCTCCTGTCTGCTCTACAGGAGGACCCCCACTGCACACTGGACACTCTCAGGTATGGACAGTGTTGGACACGTTACTTTGAAGAAGTAATTATCTCATAACTTAGTTAGAGTTACTCAACTGTAAAAGTAACTAGTTACTAGGGAAAGTCATTTTTTAAGTGCACACTTTTGAACCGTGCTCAAGCATGATAGCTGTGGGTTCTATTGCCGCGCTCACACTTGCACAACCGAATTGGGCCACGGCCCAATGACGTCATCATACGGTGCTGTTTGTTTACATGTTGCATAGCAGAGCTATCGCTTTAGTGGAGAAAGAAGCACAGTGGCATGAAATATGTATGAAACAGTGGTGTAGATACGAGTCCTGCTGTAATACGCGCTCCTCTGTGAGTTTATGCATATAAAAACAATGTGGGAGAGTGAGGACAGCATGAGATGAAAGGCTGCAGAACTTCTGTCTCTGTCATAGTCCTTATTGAAGGTAAGCACAGATTCGCCATAGGTTTTGGAGTGGATTTTCTTTTGTATTTCACTCATATGAGTAACATCAGCACATACACAGGGCTTGTACACTGAAATCGTACGTGTGCGTTTACATTAGCAACAGTGCTGTGCTGTGCCCGTGTAAACCATGGTGTGAGCCAAGTCAGATGACAGCTTCAATGAGCAGCTTGACTAACGTGCAGTCACGGTGTGATGTAACGGTAACAATGTTGTAACAATTGAAAAAGTAATTAGTTAGATTACTCATTACTGATCAAAGTAATGCCGTTAGTAACAGCGTTTACCCAAGTGGGGGCTGGTCCGGGCCTCCACTTTTCACGGCCCAGGCCATGGTTTACCCTGCGCCTTCTGCTGTTCTCCTCTCTCCCTCCGGGTGTCCTTGCCTTTCTCGGCTGCCCTGCCTGCCAGCTCCACCCACAAGGACTACTGATTCAAATAACTGCTTTATTTTCTTTGTATGCTTTTATTTTGATAAGTGGTGATAAAAACTGCAAAACAAGCCTGTTTTAAAAATGTGATTTTAAAACGATTCAGTGTTTCAGACTGATGTCATGTGTTTCAGACTGGAGCCTGCTGGAGCTGAGTGGTTAGTACCAGGACTCAGAAAATGTATGTGTTGAGTTAACTCCATTTGAAACAGACACATAAACACAATGCATGATGAGGCTGCCAATGGAGCAAGTATCTATTAAAAAAAAAAAAAAAAAAAAAAAAAAAAAAACATTGACAGGACAGAATTGAATCTTTCCCGAATAATTTTAGAATGATGTTGAGATGTATCAGAACAAGTATAAGAGCACATAGACTAAGATACACCCATGGACACTATGGAACCTCCCTGGACCACTGTAGGATTACACACATATAACCCACATGGGAATATAAAAGAAAGTACTATGATTTAATCTTGAAAATCACATTCTATTTCTTCTGTTTTAAATTATCATCAGGGTATCAGAATTAGGACTCAGTAATGATTGAGTCTATTACTTAGTACTGAAAGAGTTTGAAGAGTTTTCTTTTTTTCCCCCTTCACAGCATCATGGACAGTTCATTTAACTTGTGTGATGTGTAGCTAGAGGTTATGCTAGTTGATCTGTCTATTCAGCAGTTCAAGTACAGCCTCCAGTAAGATAAATGTAACATTAAAAGTAGTTCAAATGTCAGCATTTGGCCCTCGTAAGCACCGTAATTACTACAGAACGACATCAGCCCGTTTGAGATTATAATGTATTTAATGCAGCTTTACACACAAAAAACAAAACCTAACACCACAAGGCTAATCTGTATAAAATACCCGCCAAAAAAACTGTTCGCTCTGTGCCTGATGCAGAGCTTCTGTCGGACGGATGGTGAGTCTGTTCTGGAGATGGTTCATGGTCATTTCACTCAGTCACTTTCGTCTCCAGGCAAATTGTCCCTTGCTCATGTGCTGTCCTCTTCATCACGCAGCAGTCCAGCCTTTCCAAACCCGTTGGTTATCGTGGATTTTTTCACATGGCCCCACACAGTGTCACACTGCATGATACAGTGTCAGTACCGGTTCACCCAATACGCACAGTACGCACATTGAGTAGGGCCCCGCGAACCAATAGAGGCCCCTTACCTTGGCGTTACTCCTTCTCACATACGCTACGTGGATCCATAGACCGTATACTTCTCCTGCTGCTCCCGTGCGCCGCATTTCCTCCCGTACACCGCGTGTTCTCCCGTACAGCGCAATGACCGTGCCTCTTCCCGTGTGCCTCTAAACCAGAACTAAAACCAGGAATAAACCAGAAGTTAAACCAGAACTAAAACCAGTTTTAAACCAGGACTAAAATCAGGACTAATACCAAGTTTAAACCAGGATTAAAACAGGACTAAAACAAGATTTAACCGGGACTAAACCATTAGACGCAGACTGCGAATGATTGATGGATGATTCCGCATCATTTTGAGTAAAAACAAACATCAAATATTATATATACATATATTTTTTTAAATAAATACCCTGGGTGTAAATAGCATTTTTGTCTAGGAACACCTTGTGTTGTGTTTTCTCTCCATCAGATTTCTGTGATCTCACTCTGGATCCAAACACAGCTCACAGAAACCTCAAACTGTCTGACAACAACAAGAAGGTGACACTTGTGAGAGAGCAGCAACTGTATCCAGATCATCAGGACAGATTTGAGCACAGGCCTCAGATTCTATGTTCAACTGGTCTGACTGGTCGATGTTACTGGGAGGTCCAGTGGAGCGAACGGGTTCGTGTATCAGTGTCTTACAGAGAAATCACAAGAAAAGGAGACAGTGTTAACGGTTTGTTTGGACGCAATGATCAGTCCTGGACTCTGAAGTGTTCTAAAGATGGTTTCTCTGTTTGTCATAATAACATTCAAACTCCCCTCCGTCAGCCCTGGTCCTCCTCTTCTGGGAGAGTAGCAGTGTTTGTGGACTGTCCTGCTGGTTCTCTGTCCTTCTACACAGTTTCCTCTGACCAACTGACCCACCTCCACACCTTCAACACCACATTCACTCACACTCTGCTCCCTGGGTTTACGCTCTGGTCTGACTCCTCAGTGTCTCTGTGTGCTCCTTTGGATTAACAGAATCTTCACTTTTCATGTCTCTAAATCAGATCATCCATAGATTGATTCATAGTTGTTTTTTCACTCTCATTTCGCTGATACTAGGCCTCAGTTTGATCCCAGGTGGATCATGAGCTACATTTACTCATGTGTTCCATCAAATTCTATTTGTAAGAATCATTTTATAACCCCAACATTTTCCTTTGAGAAAAGTTTTATGTTGACAATTGTATCATATCAAATGTGTCTTGTTTTGGCTTCACTTTGTTTTTGAAATGTCTCTGGATGAATGCAGAATAACCATCATGACCAAAACATGAAGTAGAGTTTATGTGTTACACTTAATCACCAAATACTTTTATCGTATTTTCCGGGCTATTAGGTGCTCTGGATTATAAGACACACTGTCATTAAATGGTCTATTTTCAAACTTTTTTCACAAATAAACCGCACCGGACTTTAAAGGAAACCCAACAGTGTGATGGGTGAGTGGTTTTGTTTGTTTGTTCGTTCACGGTGACTCTGGGATTTGTTCAGTTGTAGGGAGGGTGCTGTCTGGGACCAACAGATTGTCGGTGTGTTCGCAGGTGACTCAGTTGTTCAGTTGTGTCTAGAAGTGGCACATTGCACTCGCTTTTTCGCTTCGTTCCTCCGTTCCGTTCCTCGTCAGCGTGGAGTGATGAGTGTGTCTGTGGGTGTGTTTTGCTGTGCGGTCGCTGTCTGCTCCGTGTGTGTTCTGTGGGTGGTGTGGCTTTGTAGTTTACTGAAGTCGTGCTGGGACACCCTAGTGGATTCGTGTATAGGGCGCTCTGGATTGTGGGGTGTGCGGTCGTTTTTTGATGGGGTTGGAGGCTTAAGAGCGCGTCTAATAGCCCGGAAAATACAGTTGTTTTACTTGAGCAGTTTATTTGAACATCATTGGTTTACTTTTATTCACAGTACTTTTACTCGAGTGTGGGACAGACTATGTTTTGAGGCATAAGAGCAGAAGGACAAAGGGAACAGGGGAGTCTTTTTTCTTTTGGGGTCTTTTTCTGGGCTTTTTTTGTGAGGGACATTTTGGGGTCTATGTTTGGTCTTTGTCCAGTTGGCTTCGTCCTCTTAGTTTCCTCTTAGTGTTTTGTTGTTCATCAAACTTGGACCATCAATAAATGCATTCTTATTGTGCATTAGAACTGCCTCCAGTGGATTCTTTTTTATGTCTCAAAGTGATTTCAGTCGAGTTGAACAGAAAACAAACCAAGAGTATGAACAACTCCACAAACAACCCAACAGCCACATGCCCAGAGTGAGGAGTGGTTTCCATCAGAAGAACACGAGGAGATTTGGTCACACTTTAGAATAAGACACACCTACAAATCATTTGGAAATGTTTATTCACCATCAACTCATCATTTACTGAAAATGACCCATAAAAAGGTCTTGGGCTCAATGCTGCTCTGTGATTGGTCCAATTAACCGTACAGAGGACACACTCCAAGATGGATTCTGGTGAGTTTGTGAACTCACAGATATTGCCTGAAGCCATTGTATTGTGCAAAGTTACTTTTAAATCTCTATTTAAGTGTTTAAGTTAAAGCTCATTTGTGTGCATATGTTTGTGCAGATTCATCCAGTTTGTGAAATATTGGACCTTTAAACATTCTTGTGTCTTGAAGTCTGTTTTAATTGAATCCAACAGAAACCGATGTCTTTATCGAGGTGCAAATGCAGAGAGAAGCAACTTCAAAAATGTTGTAGATTAGATTTATAATGTCTAAAAATAAATGGATAACTTGTGTCTGAAAAGCATCTGTAGAGGTCATCCAGAGTACTCGTATCACTTCTGTACAGTTTTACATTTGAGAACTGCATTTTGCCAAGCCCAGAGCAGGTTCAAATCTGACAAAAAGAGCCAGAGAAGAGGCGTTTTAATTTGGTTAAGATTGGGGTTTTGGGACAGGTTTGTTTGTTTATTATTTGTTGTTTGGCAGCTTGGAAAAAAGCTTCTGTTAACTTTTTCAAAAGATTGTTACGTATCCAAATTTTTAATTATGAATCCTACGTATATGGTTAAACTTGTTGTATTATCATTACTACTTCAATAGACAAATACACTGTTATTATTTTCTTAAATATTTAAATAAAACATGCTTTAAATTTCCAGGGTGAAGGAAGTCTGGGAGTTCCTGCTTAGACTGCTGCCCCTGTAACCCGGCCCCAGATAAGAGGAAGAAAATTAATGGATGGAACATCATGTTAATACATCATACATGTTCTTCAAAGTTTTCTTATTATGTTAATTCAAAAAGTCAGATCTGGTGAGAAGCGAGTCCGCTCACTGTAAGAATGCATGTTTTTGTAGGTATTTTGTGCAAAAGCAATAAATAATTAAATAAATATGGTTAATGCCAAACTGTGCAACTTTCCAGGCAAAGCAATAACATCTCTATGGAAACAAGCGGCAGACCATCAACCAGAAAGGTAACGTAGTGTACCTTTAAATGTCATAAATGAAGTCCCTTTTGATTGTAGCAGGGTCCTGTTTAGCAAACACATCTTTCACTAAGTGGAACAGAACTGAGAAACACTGAAGCTCTGCTTTTTATTACAAAGTCTCACCACTAGATGGCACCATGAGCCTCTAAATATCCCTCCCAAAGGCGTACTCTTTCACAGTGCATATACTCTTTCACAGTGCATGTACACTTTTACAGTGCATACACTCTTTTATAGTGAACATAAGTTGCTATGGCACAAAAATACAGAAAACACACACCAAAGTTGTAGAGGTGTAAATGCAACAAACAGCAATTTAAAAGTGAAAAAAATGCATAGCACACTCAGACAGACGATGTTCAAAAGCTTTTTTTTTATTTTTAAATTACATTTCAGCAAAAAGCCTTCATCAGATCATTTTTTTCTTGCTTTGGACCCTTAGATAACGAGACAAAATAATACAGTGCAATAAGGGGATCTAACCTTAATCTTTGTAAGTGAAATGAAAAACCTTCAGGTTTGTTTTTGACGAGGGAACAATGCTACACTGTGATGAAAAGCTCAAAAACGTCGATTTAACAAATGTGTCTTTTCAATCTCTGACTAAGACTAAGCCTGATCTCCTCAGATCTCAGGAGCTCAGCAGGACCGGGCCTGGTCAGGACTTGGACAGGACACACTGGGAAAACCACAGGCCACAGTGGAGCACCTGTGGCAAACACTGTTGTGGTGTCCTTAGGCAAGACACTTCACCTGTGTTGTCATATGGTGTGTGCGTGAGAGTTAGTGGTGATCGGAGGGCAAAGATTGGCAGCCTCACTTCCAGGGCAGCTGTGGCTACAACAGTATCTAGCACAGCGAGTGTGGGATGAATGAATAATACAAGTGTAAAATGACTCTGAGTGTGTGGAAAAACTCTTTGACACTAAAGGCCAATTTACGGTCCAGTGTCAAATCGTCTATGTGACGACGCAGAGAGAGATTGCATCGACGCATACCCCCTTGGCAGAGCCTCTGCGTCCGACGTGCACCTCCGAACATTTCTAACTACACGTCAAAACGACGCAGACGGGAGGGGAATCGATGCAGACGATTAGAGCTGTGATTGGTCCTCACACACACACACACACCAAACACACACACCCCAATCCCACACACACACACACCAAACACACATCAAACACACACACCCCAATCCCACACACACACACACACACACAGACCCCAATCCCACACACACACACCCCAATCCCACACACACACACACCAAACACACACACACCAAACACACACACAAACACACACACACACCAAACACACATCAAACACACACACTTCAATCCCACACACACACACACACATGAAACACACACCAAACACACACACACCAAACACACACACACACCAAACACACATCAAACACACACACCCCAATCCCCCCCCACACACACACACACCAAACACACACCCCAATCCCACACACACACACACCAAACACACACCAAACACACACACACACACACCAAACACACACACACACACACCAAACACACATCAAACACACACACCCCAATCCCACACACACACACACACCAAACACACATACACCCCAATCACACACACACGCTAACACACACCCCACACACACACACACACACACGCACGCACACACTCACAGGGTGAATACAAAACCTGGTCAAACGTTCAGGGACCAGGTATCAAACTTTATGTCTCTCATTTCATCTTTGGCCTCTGTGGATTTTGGATAATTATGAAAAAACACTGAAAATCTTGGCAAAATTGTCATATCTTAGTTAAGAAGACAGAAATATAAAATTGGTACCAAAAGATGCACAACAGCAACATTTATATTTAACTTTCATTGACACCATGGCCCTAAATGGATTATTTTTAAAGTTATTTGCAGTGTTGGGAGTAATGTATTATAAAAGTAATGTATTACAGTAATGCGTTGATTTTTGCTGTAACGCAGTAATGTAAGGCATTACAGGGGAAAAAATAGTAATATTTTACTCGGTACAAATGTGAGTAACGCGCGTTACAACGCTTTTTTAACCTGGATTGAAGTGGTGTGTTTTTCTTCATACAAATTCGCTAAAATCACCGTGAAATCAGCAGCGGTGAAACGCCGGAGACGCGGCCAGATAGACCTTCAGGTAACGGCGGGCGAAAGGACCGACCCAGAACTCCACGCTGTTTAGACCTGGTTTAGACCTGGGTCACTTCTGGTTTAGACCTGGTTTAGACCTGGGTCACTTCTGGTTTAGACCTGGTTTACAGTCGTCCCTCGCTCTAACGCGGTTCACTTTTCGCGGTCTCACTGTTTCGCTGATTTTTTTTTTTTTTTTTGTGCAATTTTGCATGCCTTTTGTTTTTAGTGTATGAACACGTATTGCGTTCCTGCCTCTGCGTCCTGATCGGCTAAGGGACTCCTGTCTCCTGTACTGTACAGTACAGAATATGTTCAGCTGCCAAATTTAAATAAATGTTCAATCTCTAGCAGTGTGATTCTGAAGTGCTGTATGTCTGCAAGTTTTCTCTCCGACAAAATCCACAACGTCGACGAAACGTTCTGCACTGACAAAGTCTCCTGCGCTCACACCCAAAAGGCAGAGGAAGATGCAAACCATCGCACAAAAAGTTGGACTTCTGGACACGTTGAAGGAAGGTAGAAGTTACGCGCTGTAGCAGAGTCTTGCACTGGGTCTTGTACCCGCAAAGAGTTGCTGAAATTAGGACCGCGAGCCTGAGCAGCAGGAGGTCTGTAAAGCGCGATCGGGCGACAGCCGCACTTACCTCCATGAGGTGCGGAGCAAAGCCACTCCTTTCTCCTGCGGTCACCTTCGAGCCCATCCTGACAGTGAGTCCTGTTTTAGTCCTAGTTCAGTTCTGGTTTAGTCCTCCTCTTCAGTCCTGGAATCAGTCTGAGGTTAGTCCTGTTATAGTCCTGGTTTAGTCCTGGTTCAGCTCTGGTTTAGTCCTGGTTTAGACCTTGTTTAGTCCTGGTTCAGTCCATATACGGCTCAAAAGTTCAGCTTTTTCGCAGTTATTTTGGTGAGAGTAACTTAAAGTAATGCAATAGTAATGTAATGCCTTACATTTTAAATGCAGTAATATTGTAACGTAACAAATTACTTTGAAATGGCAGTAATAAGTAATAAATAACACATTACAGTTTTAACCTGTTACCATCCACCTATTTTGGCGTGTGCACAATAGCACTACAAGTGCCATAGCTTATTAAAAGAAAACCTTAGAACCCACATGCTTGTGTGAGGCACCATTTTAAAGCTTAGGCCTTCTAGTTTCTGTAGATATGTACATGAAGACTGTGAGTGCTGCCTAACCTACAGTACAGTCAATTAAAATTGAAAAAAAATTGTATTTTTTTGCTTAGAAAAAAAAATTGAAAAAAATAAAGGCCTTAGCTTGGGCATACTTCATGCTAGGCATTTGTGACTCACTACACTCATTGTTCAAGTTGTTGGCAACAACTTGAACTTGTGTAGAATTTCAGATCTCTAGGACAAAGGGTTTTGATGCTGTGAGCCTTTGTGTTTACAAAATGACAATTCGGCACAAGATTGTCCAAATTTGTGCCAAAATATTAATAATAATAATATAATAATAATAATTGTTATTATTATAATACTAATTCTCTATTCTCCTTTAGGCATGTTTTCTCAAGAAAAAAACCTAAAAGTAGCCAAAATTGTCCTCCAAGTGCCAGATCTGCCCTCTATGGCCCCTCCCGCACTGCTCTCTGTGTCTGTCTCTGTTACGCTTATAAACACAGCTCCGGTTTCAAAGACTACTGCATGTCCCACCCACCGTTTGAAAGCTCTGGTGATAGGCTAAAACAATATGTCAGTCACTTTCTGGAAGATCCAATGACTGAAGAGATTTCCCGTAAACAAACTGATGACGCGTGCGTAAAGCCAGGAAGTACGTGAGTGCATTAGCTTC